TTTGTTTTTATTAGTTTAGGATCCACTCATCTAATGTTCCTAAAATTCGAGAGCAGAATAACGTGTTACGAATATTGGAATTAATAACGAGCGATTAAAAAATGCTCTAGTTACTAGTTGATCATCTTTTTTTCGGGGACTTTGTCTTTTTGTTGTCTGAAAAAACTAACTCTTTGAACTAAACTAGATTGGTAGAGAGAGAGATTGGTAGTATTAGTATTCCAGACTGTCTAGAAGGATTTCAAAATGACTTTTCTGGAGCTGTTTCACTTCATCCTTAAAAAGTTGTTATAAAAAAAATACTCAAATAAAAGTCTTGTATTGTATTCTGTGAGAATGTATTTTGGGTTGCATAACCATAATTATTAAATCGGACGGTATTCGTGAATCACCCTGTATAATGTTCCCACGATTCTGGATACGTAATTTTTGCAGATGAAATTTTATAGTTTTAAATCAGAGCAGGTGGTGGTATTTTTGCGTGAAAATTGCTTCATATAAAATAATAGCTATTTAACTAGGTATTGTAAATCTTCCTTTTTGCTTTGTTGAAAGAATATATTATTTTGTGGTCGATTGTTCACATTCATCATCCATTTTATGTTTATTTTCATACTTTACCCACACCAGGCTGGAGTGAGTTGACACTGGCTTTAAAAAGGCACCACATAACCGAAAGGGTACAAAAAGCAAACTATAATTTTTTTGTGTTTATTTACCAACAACAAATTCGCTACATGGAAGCGGCACGGTAGAAAGCTTGGAGCGCTTTTGCAAAAAATATGTATGTAATACGTACTCAAACTCATTTTTAATAACGACTCGGCTTGTTTGTCGCCTCGTCCTTAATCACGATTCGGCTCTTAAAACTCTAGTTTATCATTGTAGGTATACCATAAATACCAATTCTTAGCTGTCTCTCGCAAAACACAACCCACATTTAAAGCTCCCCAACAGCCAGAAAATCAGGACAATCACATGCAGGAAACGTCCGATAAAATTTTTATATCCCTCACTTTGTAGCAAAACAGTACAAAGATGCCCCACCGTCACACGTATTTTATTTTCTCGAAACCGTACCTCTGTCTTGAGAATAAACTTTATAGTCACCTCAATCCAGCTAAAAACTTTATTTCGTTTTATGACGTATCGCGGGGAGCCGTTTTAGTGCTTTATTGGCTTGAGGTTAAAAGCGCCCGGGTTCCATCTACGCCGGTGTAAAACGGCTTAAATGCACAGGATTTAATGCGACAAGACTTTAATATTATTTAATCAGGACTGGGGTATTCGTTCATGAATAAATTTACACATAAATCACGGACACCGGGCCGGACCTGCACTATATTAGGAGTCATATTTACATGATTTTCACTTGGCTGACGGGCAAATCAAATTATGACAGGGGTTTGTTGGGAAACATGGTATGTTTGGGCTGACATTAAAAATAGCATGCTGCGAAGGTATAAAGCATGTTTTTGACTTTTTTGTCTGTAATTGCTAATGAAATGAGAGGAAAATTTTACAAACTTTTCTCTTATTTGATGTATCAACATGCGACTTTTGTATCAATATTTCCATAGCAATATTTTTCTCTTTTCGGGTCCACCCAGCCAAAAATCAGTCCGTCTCAATATAAGTATTAAGTCATCTGCAAAATTTTGCGTTATTTTTTATCTTCCCCAGATGCCTCCATTTCCTCTCGGAAATGAAAACCGCATTTCTGCATAAAGAACAAAAACCGCCCTTCTGCTTTCAAAAAATCATTTCCGCTGCGAGCCACCCTTTTCGCGAATTATCTTTTTGTCGCACGTATCTCGTATCAGCCTTCCCACCGAAACAATTGCTCCAAACGCAGTGATTAACCCTCTAACAGTTCCCCAATAATTCCTCCAACCGGACGACGTCTCATCCGCTCCGAGGACAATTTATGCGTCGCTGTGGCCTCTTTCGCTTACCTAAAATTGCCTTCGCCGTACAAAGATGCTCTCGAACAATGCGAAACACGACGCTTTTTCCGCAGCATTAAACCCCAAAAATAAAAATCTTCTGCTCCATAAAAGTTCTCAACCGATTGAATTACATCGATAAAAAGGAACTAGCATCGGATAGTTTTTTGCGGCACTCATTCATATTTCATACCGGGCGCATTTATTCCGTTTAAATTGACCTACAATAATCGTCATATTGGATAAGATAACTCAATTTGAGTTGTTCAGTGATTACTGAGTGAGGCAGCGCGAGTACATTCCTAGCTTGACGGGCTCCCAGGACATGTCACAATGCTGCCGATGGGGTTTTGAGGAAGACCAGCTGACGAATGAATGGATCAATTTGTACATTTCTTCCGTTTAATTTGTCCTACAATAATTATCACACTGGATAAAATAATTCAGTTTGAGTTGTTCGTTGATTTCTGAGAATAATTTCTAATTTCACTTTGACATTTGGATTTTGCATGATTAATCCAAAGACGCGATCGCCGAACTTGTACAGTGCGACGGAACATTTCGCGACAAATGGGATCGGGCGCGAATTTCAAAATACGATTTTTAAAACCTTTTTACAGTAAATGAGCGCGATGCAACGATTTGAAAAAAATACTGGCTGATAGCCCTCTTCGACCTCCACAAAGGCATCGCTCAATAATAGCTTTAAAGTGATCTGGGGTGATATTATAAAATTAAAACCAATTTGCCACGTTAATTCCCTATGTCCAGACTTGGAAGTGGCGCCCTGTATGTGCGGGACGTGTACTTGATAGTGACATATTTTATGAACGGTGGCTAGAAGAGACGGAACGAGGAAAGTGGCGATTAGGAGAGGGTGATGTCTTTACTGGAGTTGATAGTGTGATAATGTCGAAGATGCTTAGAGTTAAGGTGGGACGCTAGACGACAGGCAAGTATGAATTAGGCGCCATTTGTTGCCCTAAATGCAACCAGTAATTATTAAAAATCTACCTGAATTGAGATGAGTAAAAGTAATGGTATGCATTAATATATATATATAATTCAGCTCTGCAGGCCTTAAAGGCCCTGGGCTTTTTTAACAGTAATTTTCCATTTGTTCCTGTCCGCTGCTTTGGATCTCCAATCTTCAATGCCTAAGTTTTGAAGATCTTTTCGAACATCGTCCATCCACTTCAGTTTTGGCCTTCCTCTCTTTTTCTTTCCTCCTTTTAGGCGGTCTAATACTTTCCCAATTGTCCTTTCCTCTGGTGCTCTTTCGACGTGGCCTAGCCATCTTAGTCTCTGTGCTCTGATTATCTTCGTGATTGTTGGTTCTCCGTATATTTCCTCGATCTCTCGGTTTGTTCTTCTCCATTGGTCTAGTTCTTTTATACCTCCATATATCTTTCGTAATATCTTGCGTTCCCATACTTCCAACTTCTGTTCCTTTTCGTTCGTTAGCGTCCATGTTTCACTAGCGTACAGGACTGTAGGTCTTACTATTGTCTTATATACTTGTTTCTTTGTTCGTCGTGTTACATTCTTACTCCTCAGAAATCTGTTTAATCTTCCTACACTCTTGTTTGCTTTCGCGATCCGTTCTTCTATCTCTTTTGTTTGTAATTACTACTCCTAGATATTTGAACCTATTTACTTCTTCGAATTCGTATGTTGTTCCTTCTTCTGTAGTTACTTTCAGTGGTTTTGCTGGGGTTTGTTTTGTTTCCATCTTCATAAACTTCGTTTTCTCTTGGTTGATCGCTAAACCCATTCGTTTCGCTTCACTGATTAGATTTTTTGTCATTTTCTTCATTTCTGCTTCTGTTCTCGTTATACAGTCACGTTATCTGCAAAGGCTATATTTTGGTGTCTTTTTTCGTATATCGTGCTCGTTCTGTGGATGCCACTTCTCCTTATTATTGCTTCGAGTACTAGATTGAACAGGGTAGTTGATATTGGATCTCCTTGCCGGAGTCCTGTTCTTACTTGGAATGATTCTGACAGCAGACCATTTATCGTGACTCTGTTTCTGGTGCTCTGTAAGGTCATCTTTGTCAGTTTTATTAGTTTTCTTGGGACTCCCAGTTCTTGCATGGCTTCTAGCAGTTCTTTCCTGTTAACCGTGTCGTAGGCTTTTTGAAAGTCTATGAACAGCAGATATAAGTTGATTCCTTGTTCGGAATGTACTTCTTGTAGTTGCTTCAATATAAATATCTGGTCTACAGTAGATCTATTTTTCCTAAACCCTGCTTGATATTCTCCTACTATTTTTTCCATATGCTGCTTTAGTCTTCGGTTGATGCAAGTGGTAATTACCTTATACGTTACGTCTAGCAGCGCTATTCCGTGATAATTTTCGCATTTCGTAATATCTCCTTTTTTAAATATCGGGCAAAGTACTGCTTCAGTCCATTGTTCTGGCATTTTTCCTTCCTTCCAACATTCTAGCACTAGTCGATGTATCTCTGATGCTATTGCTTCTCCTCCGTACTTTAGCCTCTCGCCCTTTATTCCGTTTCTACCAGGACTTTTGTTGTTTTTCATCTGCCTTAGTGTTTCTCTGATCTCTCCTTCGTCAATTTCTATTGTTTCATCTGGGTCATCCGAGTCGTTCACTCTTTCGTTCGTATCTTGCTGTGTATCCTGTTCGTTTAGCAGCTCTTCAAAGTATTCTGCCCATCGTTTTATTCTTGCTTGTTCGTCTCCTATCAGGTTGCCGTCCTTGTCTTTACAATATATTACTCGTGGTTGATAGCCTATTTTCTCTTTTTTCACGTCCTGGTAGAAGTTCCTTATTTCATTCTTGTTGAAGTTTTCTTCTATTTGTCGTATTTGTTCTTCCATCTTTGCTCGTTTCTTATTTCTGCATATCTTCTTGTACTCTTTCCTTTTTTCTTGATAATCTTTTTGGTTCTTCTCATTTTTTGATTTTAGATATTTCTGTCTGGCTGACCTCCCCGCTTCTATTGCTTTTCTACATTCCTCGTCAAACCATTCGTTTCTATTTTTGTTGTCTTTTTTGACGAACCCTAGTACTTCTTCCGAGGTCTTTCATTTGTTCTCTTGTAGTTCTTCCCACCTCTCTTCTATAGGTATGTCTTGCTCTGTTGATCTTATTCTCTCATTCATCTTTTGTTCGTATTCCTGTTGTACTTCAGCTTTCTTAAGTTTGTTTACATTTATATCACGTTGCGTCTTCTTTCCTTCTTTTTTCTTCGGTATTTCTTGTTTGAGGTCTGTTCTTACTAGAAAGTGGTCTGAATTCGCTTCTGCTCCCCTGTAGCTTCTTGATCTGGTTATTAGTTGAGCATCTCTCCTTTCTACCAGTATGTGGTCTATTTGGTTGACCGTTTTTCCATCAGGCGACATCCATGTGCCTTTGTAGATCTCTTTCTGCGCAAAGAAGGTGCTTTTGACTACCATTTTGTTTTCTTCTGCAAACTCTATCAATTTTTCTCCATTTTGATTCGTTTTTTGGTGTTTGCTTCTTATCTCGATTATTGGCCTGTAGCAATTCTCTTTACCTATCATTGCGTTGGCGTCTTCTATAACCATTTTAATGTCATGCTTTGGTATTTTCACATATTCTCTTTCTAGTTCTTCGTAATATTCTGTTTTTACTTCTAGATCTTTCTCTTCAGTCGGTGCATGTATATTCAGTAGGCTTATTTTCCTGTACTTACTTACTTCTCAATCTTATATAGCTCATTCTTTCTGAGATTGGTTTGAAGGTAATTACTGCTCCTTTCAGGCTCTTCTTCACCATGAATCCTGTTCCTAGTTCTCTGTTGTCAATTCCGCTATTAAATAATATGTAGTTGTCTATTTCTGTGATGAATTTGCCTTTTTGTTTCGTCTCTTGTATAGCTGCTACATCTATATTATACCTTTGTAATTCTTGAACTATTTGTTTGAGTTTTCCTTCGCTATATGTTCCTCGAACATTCCATGTTCCTATTCTAATTTTCGGGTTTTTCTTTCTCTTCGTAATTCCTGTCGGGTCATCCATGAGCTTTGCATCGTCATTGTTTTCCGGTGTGTGGTTGCTTCCTCTGTTAGTTTTTTGGATTTTCTTTGGGGTGCGACGGTGCTTTCACTAATTTGTCTAATTTAGTGTCCCAATGCCAGACTTCTCCTGCCCATATCATCTTTTTGTACCCTACTTTTGCCTCGACTCCTTTCCCTTTTTCTGCTGCTGCTATTCCTCTTATTTTCTTCTGTATCTCGCTCTCTTGTTTGGTGTAATCGTCTTCAATAAACGTTTTTGATCCTTTTAATTTGTTCTTCTGTTTCATGATTGCTCTTTTTGTGTCCCAGTTCTCTATCTTTGCTACTACTATGTCGTATTTTTCGCTGACTAATCTTGCATCTTGTATCTTAGTTTGGATTCCTACCTTATTTTTTAGGAGTTCTTCAACCTCTGCTGTTACTTTGCTTCCTTGTAGTTTCCCTCCTTTGATTACGATGTTGTTTCTCCTTTCTGCTTTTTCCAGTTTTTCTAAGTGTTGCTCCACTCTTTCTAATCTTTCGGTCAGTCTTTGGTTTTCTTCTCTTAGTGTTGTTACTTCTGTTTGGTATGCCCTTTGGTCTCTTTTCATTTCTGCGATTTCCTCCATTAACGTTTTGAACATATTCTTTACTTCGTCCATGTCTCCTGCTTGTACCCTCTTCTGCTTCCTCTGTACTCTTTGACCTTCCGGTGATGGTGAAAATGAGGTTTCTCTTTTTCGTTTCTGGTTGTCTTGTTCTTCTATTGCTAGTTTGTGTCCTTCTGGATTCTGGATTCTTAAATTATGGGGGCTGACCGTAGCCAGCCGGCACTTAGGCCTCGCCTTTGGGCCCATTGTACCTTCCCCAAGTCCATATCAGGGTGTTTTCCCGCTCCTCTACTCGTCAAGCCACCCAACTGCTTGAATGTACTTGAGTAATGCAGAGGGTGGAAACTCCCTGATATTTGCCATACTAGGCCAGATGTCCCCTAGTATGGATTCCCTGTAGGAGGCTAGGGCTGGACACTCACGAAGAATGTGCTCAGCTGTTTCCTCTTCTTCATTGCATCCACGACAGATTGGGTCTGTTACCACCCCTATCGTATGTAGATGTTTGTTAAACTGGTAATGTCCCGTAAGGAATCCTACCAGTTTACGCAGTTTGTCCCTTGAAAGTGAGAGATAAAATTTCGTCAACTTACGGTCTGGTGTCGCCATACAAGCTCTACTATGCCGACAGCTGCTCAATTTCACCCATATCTGCTCATGGCGTCTCTGGGTATATTGCTTTACGAGTTCGTTCGAGAGGGCGACCGAAGGCGTGATTGCCGGTTCGGGTCCCCAGAAGGGCATGCGCGCGGCTCGCTTCGCCATCTCATCTGCCCTCTCGTTTCCTTCGTTGCCACTGTGTCCTTTGATCCAACAAAGTTCCACACTATTCCTCTGCGTTACATACTTTAGCGTTTGTCTGCACTCCCAAACCAGCCCGGATCGAACCATACAGCTGTCCAGGGCTAGTAGTGCAGACTTGCTGTCAGTAAGTATGCGTATTGATTTGTTGCCGATTTCACGTTCAGCAATAATTCTAGCTCCCAGCATTATTCCCATCAGTTCTGTTTGTAAGACAGACGTGTGGGTGCCGAGAGGTACACTGATTTGTGCGTTCAGTTGTTCGGAGTAGATGCCGGCTCCTGAACCACTATCTGTTTTGGCACCATCGACATAGATTTCTATGTCGGCTCGTCCTTCTGAATTATCATTCATTGATATTCTATATGCCTTCTCATATATTAATTTTGTGCCCATTCGGTCACACCCCATCCTTAACAAGGGTATTCTGTTGAACGCCTCCGTTAAGATCCGTGTGTGCTTCGTTGTGCGGCCTTGCTTGTTCCATACTCCCAGAGAGTGCAGTCTTAGAGACGTCGTCATTGCCGCTTCCTCTATGTAAAGGTTAAGAGGTGCTAAGCAAAGAAGAGTCTCCAGAGCCGCTGTGGGAGTGGTCCTCATTGCTCCTGTAACACTGAGACACGCCATTCTCTGAACGTGTTCAAGTTGCAGGGCTGTTGTTTTTTGTCTGGCTCTGGGCCACCAAACTAAAGCTCCATAGCACAGCATCGGTCTGACTATTGCCGTGTAGATCCAGAGGGCGATCTTGGGATTTAAACCCCACGACCTTCCCACCACCCTACGACATTGCCAAAGAGCCGAGCGTGCCTTTTCTACTTTATCATCTACATGCTTCTTCCAATTCAGTCGCCAGTCCAATACAACTCCCAGGTATTTGACTTCGTCCGAAAGTTGGAGCGTTGTGTTAAATATTTTTGGCATCTGTAGTGTACCAATTTTCCTTTTCCTGGTGAACAGGATTAGCTTCGTCTTTTCTCCATTAACGGAGAGGGTATGTCTGCTGCACCATTCCTCGACTATTTTTACTGCAGCTTGCATTATCTCACATAATGTATCTGCGTTTTTTCCTGTTAGCAGAATGACTAGATCGTCCGCGTATCCAATTGTGTGGTAGCCAAGATCATTGAGGCGTCGTATCAGGCTGTCAACGACAGTATCCCACAGTACAGGAGAGAGAACTCCTCCCTGAGGACATCCCCTGTCTACAACAGCCTCGATCTCAGTGCCACCTACATTAATCATTACTTCCCTGTTCCTCAGCATACCGGCCACCCACCTACTTAGGGTAGGGTCCACGTCGTGCTCTCGTAGGGCTAGCTCTATGCTTTTGAAGGTCGTTTTATCAAACGCTCCTTCAATATCCAAAAACATTCCTAAGGTGAAGAGTTTGTTCTCCATCGCCCACTCTATACGGTTTACAACTGTGTGTAGGGCCGTATCGGTGGATCTTCCTTGGATGTAGGCATGTTGGTTCGGATGTAGAGGTTGCTTGCTCAAAGCAGTCTCCCGAATCTCTTTTTCGCTTAGTCTTTCTAGTGTTTTCAGCAAGAATGATGTTAAGCTAATTGGTCTGTAGGATTTAGCCAAGGTGTAATCTTGTCGTCCTGGCTTAGGTATAAAGATAACCTTTACTTTTCGCCATGCATTCGGTATGTAGCTGAAAGCCAGACACGCCCGAAGCATTGGCAACAAAATAGGGCGTAGTCTGCTCATTCCCCTCTGCAGGAGGGCGGGATAAATACCGTCAACTCCTGGAGATTTGTATGGGGAAAAGCTGTCCACTGCCCACTCCAGTCTTGCCTCCGTGACTACCTTTGCAGCCAGCGCCCAGTCCTTCGGGGAAGGTTGAGTACCGACTACATCCCTTTTGGAATGGGAGGTAGTCCTTGTGCTGCCTGGAAACATGGTCTGCAGCAAAAGTTCTGCGGACTCTTCTAAGGTGGCTGTAAAGGTGCCATCTTCTTTCTTTAGGAAACCTAGTTGATGTGTGTGGTCCTTCGAGAGAACTCTCTTCAGCCTTGCGGCCGAAGCAGTCGACGTTATGTCGCTGCAGAAGGATCTCCACGTTTCCCGTTTCCTCTTTCTTAATTCTTTCTTAAACTCTTTCCGGTGCTCTTTATAGGCTTCCCAGTCTTCAGTTTTCTTAGTGTTTTTTGCTCTATTGAAAAGTTTTCTTAGCCCCGATTGAAGTAGGCTGAGCCTTCGGTTCCACCATGGTGTACCTTTGCCCAGACCTTCCTTCTTTAGGGGGCAACTTTTCTCATACGCTGACATTAGAGAGTCGTTGATAATGGTCAAGGTTTTCTCTATGTCTTCTGTCGATCTGTATTCTATTGGTATAGACTGCACGGAGGTCCCCAGTCTGTCGTCCAGTTCTTCGTTGTATAAAGCCCAGTTCGTCAGCCTAGGGTTCCTGTACGTCTTTGTCTCCATGTCTATACATTTTGATGTATACATGATCCATCTATGGTCTGACACTGACGCCTCTTTGGAGACGTGCCATCCCATTATATATTGTGAGATATCCCATGTAGCCAGTGTAATATCTATTACTGACTGACTACGTGATGTTACGAAAGTTGGTTCGCAGCCTCGGTTGAGAATCTCTAGATTTGTTGATGAAAGATATTCAGCTAGTGTTTCTCCTCTATCATTAGTGTCTTTGCTCCCCCACAACAGACAGTGGGCATTCGCATCGGCACCGATGATGAGGTTTATATTTCCGGTATCACAGTGTTCCACCAAGTTCGCCATTTCCCATGTTGGACATGGTTCCTGTGCTCCCTGTGGTAAGTACACGGATGCTATTACCAGTTGCTCTTCGCCTCTTCCTATGTTACACTTAACATTTACCGCAGTCACATCCCTGGAGCTGACCTGAGGTAGGAGGACGGCTTTAATTTTCCTCGGAATGTAGACGCATGTCCTTGGAGATTCTATTGTGGTACCTGAAACAACAGTGCCATTTAAATTGCTCAACCCTGCGATCCTGGATTTTACTATCCATGGTTCTTGGATTATTGCTATAGTGTTCTGCATCTTGTCTAGACGACGACACAAAACAGTCGTCGCCATGCGACAATGCTGCAGGTTAATCTGAATGAAATTTATCTGCTGCAGCGCCATCTCTGCAACCAAAAATCCCATAATTGTCCTAGGAGACACGAGGCACATGTCTCAGGCGGGCCCGCCCCCACTGGTAGAGGCTTCACCCCCTGGGGTTTCTACCTCTTCCATAGGGGTCCGCCCTTCCTGAGCCGACGCCTCGTTCTCCTTGAGTTTCAGGTTGAAAGAGGACAGCATATAATTGATTCTGCCCTCTCTCTCCCTGATTATCTTGGCCTCTTCCATCCCAAGACCAAACACAAAGAGGTTGCCTGGAGAGGCAGCCTCGGGTTTGGCCTCGCGATGGAAAAGAAGCCATTTTTTGACGTGGGCCCATTGGTTCTGACCCTCCAGGCGGCGAAGTACGACTCCTGCGTCCACCGGTGGTCCCGGTATCCACAGGGTCGCCCTCACCAGCCTTGGTAGCTCAGCCAAGGGGACCACGTTAAGTTGTGCGCCCTCCCACAAGGGTGTAAGGGAGCGCACTGTTTGTTGTAGCCATTTC